TGGGAATTTGAAAATAATTCAAAGAATCTAGTTGCTTGTATTCCTTAAGTTAGATCCAAGAAACACGAAGAGTTCCGATATCAAAAACTTTGACTATGGCGCAATATTTCATCATCAGGTTTCGGGCCTAGACGGAAAGACGGTTAGTATCTCTGAGGGTATTCGAAACGTTAACCCTCCACTACGCGCCCACAGGCTTCAGTGGGCTACTGGACCGTAGCGACCTGGAAGGCAGGCTAGGCCCCTAGAAAATACCACATCTTCATTGTAGGATCGTTGATTAGGATAACTCCTATTTGCATTTGCACTTGATGAGAGAGGTCTTCGAGAAGATCAGTAATTCTCGATTGGCATTTAGTTCATTCTAGGAGATCTAGGACAGGTTAAAACTGATGGCCAGTGATGATTAAAATAACTTTTGGATAGAAATTCTGTGCTAAATTCATTTACGCCGAGAGAAAAGTCAAGTGTCGAATATAAAATTGCCTTAAGCAATCCGGAGGGATCAGGTTCTTGCTCAAGAATCACTCATAGTCGCAAAAATTAAAAAGCATACAGCACTTAAAGAACCAGAGAGAGAGAGACAGCACTGTGTTCTTTGGCTTTCGGACTATGTACACCGTCCTGAACACAAACTCCGATGTGAATAAAGTCAAAATACTAATTACAACAGGAAGAAAAGACAAAGCTGGAATGTATAATAATCATAAATTTGATTACCAGAGGCAAACCCTCATTATTTTGTTGTGGAAAGCTGACCCAAACGTTTATGGGGCTCCAAATACCGAAAATGCATGCCCATTCTGGTTGTGTAGCTTCAAGTACTTAAGCTGAACTATATTAGGAGAGAATAAACGTCTAACGTGTCAAACTATTGAAATTAAGTAGGATTCGAGACTATCAGTAATCAATTAAATAAGACGTTATTAAGCCTTGGTTGTCTACGATGACTTAAGGACTGATAATGGAGTTTTTCCTACAATTCCATAGATTGACCTCAGGATGTTTAATCTTCCAGCTCTGACTGGAGTTTCTACATCATATGGGTTTCATCAGCACCCTTTACAGGATTCAAACCATGCTTTGAAAAACGTGGGAGCACACCACCAACCTGTGCTCGTAATTCAGGAAAAATATTACTTCGAGGGAAGCTAGGCCCTTTACAAATCACATTTAGAGTGGAAATGTCGATGGAGCAATCATGTAGCTGCCAGTGCATTTGAAGATAATATCTATCCTTAGTATACTTCTTCTTCTAAACTCATAACATTATTGGAAACCGTACACTCTATGCCTTTTAGTCACCTCAAAGGGCCTAAGATTATTAAGTTCTTATTTAAGAATTACTTATTGTTTTAACCCAACTAATAATAGATATAGATAACATAATATGCAATTTTAAAGGGGCCTTGCTTGAATGGAATTATCATCTGCCCCGTAATCCTTTGGAACCCGTGGTTGTCTAGCAGAGTGGTAATTTATCGCCAGTTTGTTCAGGACATGGTATTGAATCCTGTTGGGACTGCTGAAGAGACTCATGCGAAGTGGAAACTGAACTCCGGGCTGGGTGAGAAAACCGTTTGTGAAGCGAGGTTAGATTAAATTCACTGAAATTGTGTTCTAACTGTTGCCCCATTCCTTAAGTCCCCTTAAGCTATACAGGATTACTTAGTTCAACATTCCGTCTCACGTACATAATCCATAAGATCGGAACATGGTCTGAATATGACTACTGCCAGCAAAGAAGGGATCTATTATGGATTTCTGTCAACGACAAATCACCACTTCCTCAGTCTGTTTGCTCTTCAGCCTTATAAGTTGGCCTATATTCCGTACGGTTGTTGAGCCGTTTCCCCTGAACTAAATCCTAGATGTGATCATGTGTGACATCAGGTCTGCGAGTGATGGATTCGTGCCTGAGACTAAAAGATTCAGACTCCACTGGATTGGGTCATGGAATAGTAGGCGAGTTCAGTTTAATGCAAATTATTACAGAATGAGCAACAATGTTAGGATTCTATACATACCGAGCTTTCTTGAAAAGACGTAATCCTCTTTCGGAAGAAGCCAGTCGTGCAGGTTTCAGCGTGTCTAGCCGGCAAGAGTCGGAGAATAACGAGTCGACAATTTCGCTGTCCGCCGTGAACAATTGTCTCGTCTGTAGTAAACAAGCGTTCTGCTTGTTTCGGGCTCTTTTGGCTACCGCAAGGGCTATCCACCCCAGGTCCGGTGAGTCTTTCTGAGTCGCTGCCCGTGTGTGTGAGTCTGCCCGTGTGTGTGTTCGTGTGTGTTTCCCAGGCCTGTCTCTGCTCAAGACGCGGTAAATACAAGCCGTCGGCGTAAAAAGCAGCCGCAACTGCTCATGGTGGACAGGAATGTATTCATATGATGGTGTGCATTTTAGATAGTTAGACGGGGTTAGACAGGGCAGAAGAGGAGCAGAGAAACAGAGGAGAGAGCGACCAGCAAATGACAGTGAGAGAGAAGAAGAAAGGGTAGACTCACCAATCAAGAGTGTTCTGACTTGTTTAGAGGAGAGTCCGCGTTTGTTGAAAGAAAGACGAAGCAAATGAGTTGTGTAGCAACACAGACCGAAGGGAAAGGGCAATTGGACAGGAATAAGAGTATAGATGGGTGCAGTTATCAAGCCAAGAGGAGATGTCTGGCTGGAAAGAAGGACTGATACACAAATATAGAAGAGAGCGAGAGAGTGTGTGTGTGTGAGCGAGAGAATGAATAAGCAGAAAGTAGATAAGACCTCAATGGATCCTGAGTCCGCTCCTGACATATTCTCGGACTCAAGTAACCGGGACCGCAAGACCGCCACTGCTCAAGTCTGATGTCTATTTCATGTAAGTTATGATGATTGTTCATGTCGATAGTCTCACTCATGAGCACTGGCCGCACAAATAGTTGGTAGGGGGGAAAGAGAGACTGGACGAACCACGGAGACCGACTGGGATTGGAACGTCTGCCGTCAGGGCCAGGTTGTAGTGGGACTGGGCGAGAGGCCGGAGGCGTGGGAGTGGAGGCCAAGTCACAACCGGTTGGATGGTCGAGCCGGAGGCCAGGCTGCATGTGCTGGTCGAGCGGACGAGCCTGTGCGTCTCAGAGACTCTGAGGCTGGAGAGCGCTTGAGGAGGCAAGTGTTTGGCTCCGCTTCGCGGCTATCCTATCGGTCCACAAGCTTGACAGTCCTCTAATTTGGTCAAACACAATTGTACCAACTGTCCATGCAAGTTGTGGATACCATCAAGGGGACCCCGTCATAGAGAGAGATGCTCAGACCAGCCTGTTAAGTTGCATGCCAAATCATCCAGACACAATTTCTTTGCACAACCGCGATACAAGATGTGGCAAGAGATGACAGAGCGACAAAGCAACATAAGCTCAAGTCGCATGGCCACTGTGAGTGCATACAACAGACAGAAGGGCAGAAGAACAGGAAAGGATACGAAGACAGGGTAGAAAAGCGATTCCAACAGACAGGAAAAGTCTATGAGTGCATATACACATGTTTTCTGGTACGCTTAAATTATATATATATATATATATATGTGTGTGGGGGGGGTGTGATTGTGCATCTATATTTATGCCTGAGTGAAGAGTGAGGAGGCGAGGGCGAACTCAAAACAGTCCGGACCAGAACAACCAAGAAGCCGGACCTCGTATCACACCTCTCATACTCCCCTGCCCATCTACAGATTGGCTTATTCGCCTCACCCTCATGACTACCAAGCGACCGCAAAATACTGATTGGACAGCTCTGGCAAGCGACACTAGCGGCCTGATGTTGCTGCCATAGAGCGGACGTCGACGCGGTCGGAAAGTAGTAACACTCGCTTGGGCATAGGCTAGTGCTGCAACGAAAGAGACCGGACTCGGACGTCTTTGCAGCCTCAGACGAAGCACCAATGAGTGGAAAAGCGAATTTAGATTTCTATCCACGATAATGGATTACAAGAGTGGATGGAGAACAGAAACGTTGTCAATTGAGGTCCACAATAAGCACAGGAGAGCAGATTCCGTCACATTTATTTGCTTTAAATGGATGTTCACACTCAGCGAGACGGCCCCCCAGCTCACTCTTGTGGCCTCATTGCACGATTTGGCGATTTCCAACAACTGCCAGGTCCAATAGTCGGTTGCTTTGTTGCACAAGTTTCAACTCAGAGGCATCCGGAGATTGTCAGTCCCGATTTGTTGGTTCAAGCGTAGGTCCGTTTAAATGAAGATCTAAAATTGTAGCCTAAACCAGTTGGAAAGTTGAACAGGAACCTAACATTATGACACTTGATAGTCCGTCGACTGGACTGGCTCATTACAGGAGCTGAGGTAGTGCGGCATCTGAGCTTAAAGTGGTTGACTCGGAGTCCGTAGATTCGCGGTCCAATTCAGCTGGAGCTGCGGAGAGTAAATGATGGGCCGAAAATTGCCGTCAATCCCGGATTTCAGGCATTCTCGAAGACCTAATTATAAGGAAAAAATAAGTAGTGCAATCGATTGCTTCGGCAAATTCAAACTTGCTTCATTGGCAATCTCATCACAGAATGGGATATGGGAAAAGGCCTGCAATTCATTAAAAGTCACAAGAGCATTCGTGCAAGTAGGGCGCAATGGCTAACACAAAGATTATACGAAGCTCAAATACAACCTGGGTTCGAGTCCCGCTGGCGGTGATGATAAGACCTATACGAGGCGGAAACTGCGGTCAGGTC